ATCTCCAATTATGGAAATATCAGGGAGAAACAGCCATCAAGGTTTCTTCAAAGTCTGAGGCTCAAGGTCAAGGATTCTGGAAGTGCCTTGATTTTCACATCTGTAAATAAAGGAGCTGTAAATAATGTTTCTGTTGATGAATCGTTAGTCGGTAAATATAGGATTATCCCTCAGCTAATTAAGTGCCACTTAGTAAACCCTTTAGATGAATAAGGCCAGGTAGAATAAGGACTAATAAGTGCTAAATAACCATGAATTATACACAAATTACGACTATTTCACTGATTGATAGTTGTGCTTAATCTTAAAGTAACCAAAACAGCTAGCTAAGGAGGTTCCTTTTGTCTTGTTAGTATAAATAAAGGTGTTTGGTTCTTCTATACCAGACCAGATGTTATTACCATGACATGTTTCAACTGTTAACTTCTGTCTTCCTCAGAAACATTACGGTTATAACATTGTTTACTATTCTCTGGTATAGAAGAACCAAATATCCTTTTGACCATAACAGCTATTGCTTCATATATTCATATATTTGTTTATGCCTTATTTTCAGTTTAGTCTGTTGCATGTTATAGATTAGAATTGAGTCAACTTTATTAACATTACAATGTCAGAACAATGCAATGAAATACAGTTTAGCATCAATCAGTCAAATTTGCTACTAGCCGAGGGCCTGACTGGTTCACTGTGTATTTAAACATATTAAAATGATTGCATAAAACCTATTAACCAGACCTAACACAGTGTACCATATTTTATTTAATGATTAAATGCATATTCTTATGTTTTTGGCTCAGGCTCACAGACAAAACAAATTTTCTTCAAAACAAACAAATTTTCTTCAAAGAGAAAACACATGCCCTGAACAATCATGAATAGTGTCATGAATAATCCAATATTTTCTTATGGCTCTGTGCAGGCTGGTTCTAATACTAATCAAATATCATCCCGGGGGACAAGATAATTAATCGGCCGGATCTTGACTTTGACACTCATTGGTTAGATGTTAAGAGTATGATAAATATTTACACAGATAAATATATATGCAAGACTGCATAAAGCTGCTAATGCTAGTCTATACATTCATTACATTACTTTACATTTAAGGGCTTGTAACGTGCTTAAACAGGGTGAGAGATCAGGAGTCTGACTGTTTTATTGTTTAAACTTGCAACAATACAGTATCACACGCTACATGAATGTACACATCTTCTTACTGCAGTCGTTAAACTCACTTCCCGCCAGAAACCACAGCGTGTCCCATGTGCCGGAGTCGTTCTTGTTGCTTCATTCCAACAAATCTCCGGTGACTTTAAGTGATTACTGGGCAGAGACAAAAATGCCAACTCCTGATTTATGGGCAGCCATCATTCTCTTGTCGGACCTCATCCTCTCCATAACATTAACGTTCAGACCACCCACGCGGCACATGGAGACAGCGTGTAGCCAAAAGGTTCACAGAAGTCTAGACGCCCAGTGCAAAGGAGCCCGTGACCTTCAATGTTTCACACCTACACAATTGGTGAGGCGCAAGACGCTTTTGATATCTTTGTTGCTAAAAGAGAAATGAAACATATCACAGCAAAAAAGGATAAAACATGAGGAATTGCTTGAAGGGATTCATTTTTTATCTTACTTTGAGTACATTCTGAAAACACGATTTACAAACAAAACAAAGCCATTACTCTTATTTCAAGAGCTGTTGCTTTGTTTCCTCATTCCAAGGGAGATTTTTCTTGTATAAGATAAATTTGCTTTTCCCACCAGCAAATCCTGTTTTAAGGCAGTCAAAATATGCTCAAATTAAGATACATTTTGCCAACGTTGACCCATTTTTGACTATTTTTAATCACTTTTTGCAGTGATTATACAAAATCTCTTTGCTTTTAAAAATGTGATACCAATGTTTTCCCATCAAAAACAGACTTGAGCTGTTTTTAGTCAACTCAAGGCACAAACAGGTAACATCTCCCTCTAGTGGTAGCACAGGGAGTTACCAGCAGTGCATGAGACAAATACATAAATAAACTAGGTTAAAAGTACAGAAATAAAACAAAAAGTGCAGGAAACAATTGAGACTGCAAAATCGATAAACTAAAACGGTTTCAATCCATGCGCATACTCTGATACTATTAAGATTATTAGCCTGTATGATAACGTTTACAGAGTCTATAGTTTACAGCAGTCTTTCAGGTGTGACCTCCAGGTGACAGCTGCAGACACAGTTGCTGACGTTGACCCGGACACGTCCAGTCGGGATTAGAGCAGCACCTGTTGGACCCACAGACCGTGTTTGTCCTGCACCAGCACCTGTCTGCGCCTTTGATTTACACGAGGACTGAGAACCTCTGTGAGAACCTCTGTGACAACCTCTGAGTCTGAAGTTTGTGTGAAAGCAGGAGATGAAGAGTCAGATTGTTTAGAGCAGGTTTCTAAATGTGTCTATAGTTCAAATATGTTTGGAATGCATGTTCTCCATGTGTCTGCGTTGGGTTCCTCCAGGTGCTACGGTTTCCCCTACCGCTAAAAACATGTACAAAGTCTGGCATGTGTCTTCTGTATGGTGGCAAACTGTGACTCTGGTCTGTGAAAGGCGCTATATAGATCAAGATGACTGACTTACTTTGAAGAACTGGTTTAGAGCAAGATCAATACAACAGTTATGAATTCAGACAACATTATACATCGTTATATATTGTAAAATGACAAGCACATTACATTTCTAATCTTAATAATTCTTAAGTAATATATTGTAAATTATCAAAATATGTCACACTATGATCAGAACAGAGATATCTCTAAATCACATCTTTCCAAATCTAAATACATTTGGAATATGTAGCTCCAGGATAAATAGCAACGAACCAACATTAATTAGCAGCAGACAAAAAGAATCAAGATCACGGCCATTTTGAAATAACAATGATTCATTTAGTTGCCACGTTTGAAGTCATGGGTAAAGTCCATACAGTGTCTAAGTATTAGTAGCAGGTGTATAAAATATGTTTAAATGGGTGAAAAAAATACCTTCTGTAAATTAAGTCCAGGCAAGTCCAGCATATGCACTGGACATAATCCAGAAGCCAGGCCACTGTAATGAGATCTGCAGGGGTAGGCGTATTATGGGATGTTTCCAAAGTGAGGTAATGCTGCTGTTGTTTTCAGGCAGAGTGAGAGAGAGAGAGAGAGAGGGGTATCTGGGCAAAAGGAATGCTGGGTATTTGTGTTCAACCTCTGGATCCTGGGCTTTTAATTTGACACCATAGATCAGTGCAGAGGCTGTTCATTAAGGGCAGCTGCGGCAGGGCGTGGTGCCGCTTTGCACAAAATCAGAAAAACGTGTCCAGAAAGGTTTCATTATTCTTTTAGATTCTGATTCATTGTTTTTGCCATTTGCAGTAAAACCCCTTTGGGATACATTTGCAAAAGTCCTGGGTGTGCACTAGACAATACATAAATAAACAAGATTAAAAGTACATGAATAAAACAAACTAATAAAAAAAAGTTCAGGAAACAATTGATTCAAAATGTCCTGCATTTCAACGAACAATGTCTTCTGCCAGAAGGAAGAAGCTGGAACATGGCTTTTCCAGGGGCCAAAAGAACCTCCAGAACAGGCAGCTCATAGTCCTCTTACAGAGCGAAGCACCTCTCTCTGGTCTCTCTCTGGTCTCTCTATGGTCTATCTCTTGTCTATCTCTTGTCTCTCTCTGGTCTCTCTCTGGTCTCTCTCTGGTCTCTCTCTCTGGTCTCTCTTTCTGGTCTCTCTCTGGTCACTCTCTCTGGTCTCTCTCTGGTCTCTCTCTGGTCTCTCTCTGGTCTCACTCTGGTCTCTCTCTGGTCTATCTCGTGTCTCTCTCTGGTCTCTCTCTCGTGTCTCTCTCTGGTCTCTCTCTCTGGTCTCTCGCTCTGGTCTCTCTCTGGTCTCTCGCTCTGGTCTCTCTCTGGTCTCTCTCTGGTCTCACTCTGCTCTCTCTCTGGTCTATCTCGTGTCTCTCTCTGGTCTCGCTCTCGTGTCTCTCTCTGGTCACTCTCTGGTCTCTCTCTGGTCTCTCGCTCTGGTCTCTCTCTGGTCTCTCTCTGGTCTCACTCTGGTCTCTCTCTCTGGTCTATCTCGTGTCTCTCTCTGGTCTCTCTCTCATGTCTCTCTCTGGTCTCTCTTTCTGGTCTCTCTCTCTGGTCTCTCTCTCTGGTCACTCTCTGGTCTCTCTCTGGTCTCTCGCTCTGGTCTCTCTCTGGTCTCTCTCTGGTCTCACTCTGGTCTCTCTCTCTGATCTCTCTCTCTCTGGTCTCTTTCTGTTCTCTCTGGTCCCACTCAGTTCTCTCTCTGGTCTCTCTCTAGTCTCTCTGGTCTTTCTGGTCTCTCTGGTTTCTCTCTGATCTCTCTCTCTGGTCTCTCTCTGGTCTCTCTCTGGTCTCTCTCTGTTCTCTCTGGTCCTGCTCTGTTCTCTCTCTGGTCTTTCTCTGGTCTATCTCTAGTCTCTCTCTGGTCTCTCTTTTTTTAATCACTTTTTGCGGTGCAGTACTAGCTTCTTAGCATCGTTGAAGACAAAATGAACTTTTTACATTAAAGTCTCCATATCGATCTGTATAATAAAATAATTATATATTATATATATTATATATATATATAATTATTAATTAGGCCGTGGAAACAAAACACATCAGCATTTTGCCCTAAAGGAAAGAAGAGGATAAAAGTCAAAGAGCAATGCCCTTCCAGAAAGTAATGCTTCCATTTATCTCGCTCGGGTCAAAATCAATTATTTTCTCTTTTTCGATCTCGGGGCCCCAAAGAGCTCTGTCACATTCAAAGGCTCTTAAGCTCAAACGCTGATCCAACAAGATAGGAAGTGCAGAGACACACCTCATTTTCCAATATCAGCTCGATCGAACTCACACAACATTAACCAACCTACGAAAACCAGTGTGGATGAAACGTTGGTGGAGTCTGGAGACGACAAGAGATGTCTGAACATTTGCACCTGTATTTTCAGGAGCCATTGCACAGGATGAAGTGGTGACCAAGCCTGTGACCACTCCTGCTGTGGCTGAGGCGATAGTTCGAGGTGATATGATCCCCATAACGGAAAGTCCAGGTAAGAATTCGGTCTTGTTAAATCGTCATTTATTTATTTTATTTATTTTATTTATTTTATTTATTTTATTTATTTTATTTCTTTATAAAGTCCCACTGGTTGTTTCAGATGCAGGAAACCCACAGGAACAGGCCGAGGTCCTCCTGACCCCTGGACCTATCCATGAGACCACAGCCGCCGCAGAAGGTCAGGTTCCAGTGGAGGTCCAGACTGAAAGGCCAAAGGTTGAGACCCCAGCCCCCGCCAGAGGAGATGGTGATAAACCCAAGGTAAAGGGCAGTTTGAAATGTTGACATGTTGTGATAATTATATATGCCCGCTACAGATCCTTACGGAGCCCAATCTGTGTAAACTGAAGTCCTTTTTGTATCTAATCAGACATAGAGGTACACAGAATTTTTCTACGCAAGGAATGAGTAATTATTAAAAGTATCCCTTCCTGGGGAGGTGTTCCGGGCACGTCCCACCGGGAGGAGGCCCCGGGGAAGACCCAGGACACGCTGGAGAGACTATGTCTCTCAGCTGGCCTGGGAACGCCTAGGGGTCCCCCCGGACGAGCTTGAGGAGGTGTGTGTGGATAGGGAAGTCTGGGCGTCTCTGCTTAGACTGCTGCCCCCGCGACCCGGCAACGGATAAAGCGGAAGAAAATGGATGGATGGATGGATGGGTTCTTCTATACCAGACAATATAAGATTTTGTGATGTTTTTACCTTCCTACCTACACAAAACCTTGCATTGTGTGGTATAGAAGAACCCAATACTTTTAATTCTACTAAAAAGACAAGATGAATATTCCTAAACTATGAATAATCATTACTTAAAGATTCAATCAATCAAAACATAAACATATAATTATGATTATTAGGGACACTAATACAGCAAAGCTGAATCCTCCTGAAGGTTAAATGTATCATTAGGGAGACAGTAGCTCAGTTGGTAGACTATACTGGACTTTAAGTCTGAAGGTCATGGGTTCAAGTCCACCACGAGACCTTCTCCACCAACTGCCACAGATGTCTGCTGCCGTTGTGTCCTTGGGCAAGACACTTATCCTCAATTGGCTGGATTAATTTTACTATATGTACCATCCAGAGCACATTATACTGTCACAAATAAAAGCCATCTTATCTTATATCTCATCAGATAAACAAATCATCTAGAATATTATTTTCTTTCTGATATTCAGGGACATTTCAACAGCAATCGATCACTTTTTGCAACATGTATAAAAACTCATGTAAACTAAGAAATGTAAATATTGTCAATACTTATGATTGTAAAACATTTGCTCAAAACAATAAAATCAATGAATAAAAAAAATTGTATACATGTTTTAATCATCATTTATACCGTTTTTGTTAACAGCCAGTCCCACAAGACGATGTCATTTGTGTGACGAAGGAAGCAGTTATGGATAAAAATGCTGTCAGTCTCAAACTCAAGTCCAACTCTAACTGTGTAAGTTCCACTGTAGATTCAGATTCAGACTGTAGATACAGATTCTTTATTTCGTCCCACAGAGGGGAAATGTCAGTGTTGCATCAGCAGTTACAGAAAATAAGGAGCACACAAGATACATGAACAATAACTCTGTACTAAATCAAAGCAAATCTCTAACAATAAAGAAGCATGTCATATTTTCTGACATTAGTTAAAAATATTGCACAATTGCACCATGTGAGGTCAGGTTGACAGTGTTTGTTAGTCTTCATTGTTCGTTGTACAGTCTGACATACAGTAAGACCTTCTGATGACCTATTGTGTAAGTTCTACTGTAAAACATTCTGATGACTGATGCAAACTAGGGACCATGGGCCTTATAGCCATGTCTTCACAGTAGATGATACTCGGATACTCCTGACAGGTAGATAGAGACACATCCCAGAGCCATAGGTAGCTGCTGATGTGTTCGGAGGGTGAGGTTCTCAATGGGTGGGCTGCGTACTGCACAGAGATGCCGTGGGGCAGGGCAGCAGTGTGGGAGTGTAGCATGGGCGTGTTAGTGTTTTCTCTTTACAATAACAACTTTGAGGTCTCCAGGAATCACTGTTTCAGCTGTAAGGTGGTCCGAAAACCACCAGCTATGATTTCAACTGCGCTCAACTCAAAGAAGCCGAGAACATAGTAAAATAAAACAGTTTGGCATAAGGTGTGCACAGAAAAAATTTTTAGTCAGGTGAAAGTATGTATAGCATGAATAGCATTTCACAGACAATGTTTTACTTACTGACTTTATCTTACTTAAAGGTATGTAGACAGACTTTTCAGAATTTTTAGGAAAGAACCGTCCATTTTTTGTGCAAAACTCTGGTATTATTTGACGAGCACGTATCACCAGAATGATTGGCAATTGGGAGGACCAATAGTTTTGATAATCAACCTGGAAGTTGAAAATCATCTTATATACTTTCAAGTATGCAGTGGTCAGGTGTTGAAGGAGAATATTACGGATATTTGAGATAAAAAAATAATTCCAACAGTATTTTACATTTTTTTTTACATTTGTACTCTTATTGTTTACCAAAAAAAAAAATTCTTCCCTGATGTGAACTCGCCTCTCCTCAGAACTGAATCACTATTTGGCCTTTTTTTTCTAGACAAAGCAGAAAAAGACAGTTATTTTACTCATTCTACGTATATTCTATTATTTATACATATAAAGCGGGCACACCTGTATTTTTTGAATATGTATCTTGAATCTCGGTGCCGCACCTTAGAATCTTGTTTTATAAAATGTGCTTTACAACTAAAGTGGATTCGATTGAAGTCACCAACTTTACGTTGACTGGACAAAAAACACGCAAAATATACAAAAACACATATTTCAATTATTTGTTGTGGACATGTTGAGTTGAGTTGAGTTGTTAATCTACATCAAACATTATAATCAATGGACAGTTAATAGAATTTTCTAACATATCTTCATTAACATAAAACTAGAAAAGGAGTCTCAGCGGTTATTTTCTTATTTGCTGCACACCTCACCGATCATCACGTCAATGTCAGTGTTACTAAAACATACAAACCTAATGATGTTGTGTTCCAGGAGGACACAAAAACAAAGATCGTAAGTGTACTTGAGGAGCTGTGTGGAGAAGACTGCAAACTTCAGCTCTACCAAGAGGACGGCAGCGACCAGATCCTCGTGATGGGAGACTACGTGGAAGGTGACCGCACACAATTCACTCACTGTTTAGTTTAGCTTGGTTTTTACTACAGGGACAATGAATCAATCAAGTTTTTTATTTATTTATAGAGCTCTTTTCAACACTGAAGGCAACCCAACGTGCTTTATGAGAAAATCCTATCAAGTCCATGAAAATATCCATGCATTCAAACAATAAAACAGTTAAAAATCATTCAGAAAGCATTCAAAAAGTGCCACCGTGTTAACGAGTGTTAAAAGTGTTAAAAGTCAGCCTGAATAAATACATTTGGATTTAAAATGGCCAAAATAAGTAAGCACTCTAAAATCCGGGGGCAGCTTGATCCAGAGTCTGGGTCCAGCGACAGAGAAAGACCAACCACCCCGGTGTTTGGACCTGGTCCTGGGCACTTCCAGGAGGAGCTGAGTTGATGATCTCAACAATAAAAAATAAATAAAAATTAAAAAAAGCTTTAGTTTGAGCCTCAGCCTACACTTTTTTGGTCTTCATTAGTCTTTACAAAACACACATCACAATTATAAAAAACAAACCAACCTCCCAAAAAGATACAATCATAAATAGATTCAATGTTTTTTGTCCTCAAATGGCATAGACTCAAATAAGCAAATACAATTTATCTTTATCATAAATGTTCACTGATGCTGACATGATTGAAAATCATAAATGCACTTTTTCAAATTTTTGAGTAGAATGTTTCAGATCTACAGATAATTTCAGACTGTCTAGAAATCTGAATTTTGTCTGCGTATAGGATTCCTCCGGGTGCTCCAGTTTCCCCTACCACTAAAACATGTACATTAGGTCTGAATGTACTGAGTGAGTGAGAGAATGGATGGAGTATGTTTCGTTTCGTTCCGTCATCACCGTGTGTGGAGAGAATGGAAATGATCTGAACTGTGGATTGTAAAGCACTTTGGGTGACTTTGGTCGGTAAAATGCGCTAAATAAATAAAGATTCCTTACTTACTCGATTACAGTATATTGTAATTACGGTAATTCTTCAAGATCTCATTTGTTTTGTTTTTTTGGTTATTTCCTTGCAGCTGATGTTGGAGGCATGGCTGATAAGTTCAACAACGACAACATCAAAGACAAGGTAAATCTCAAGCTATGTCTGATGTAGGCAAAGCATCCATCCATCCATTTTCTTCCCCTTAATCCATTTCTGGGTTGGGGGTGGTAGTCAGAGCTGCACTCTGTACACCTCACTGATCCTCCTGCAGGTGGAGAGTCCACTGGAGCCTTGATCTTTCAGCGAGGGCTTCAGCAAGTCGTGAAGTAGGTCTTGTGGTGGGCTCGAACCCACAACCTTCAGGCCCAAAGGAAGATGCTCTACCAACTGAGCCACTCTGCTGAACAAATAAAGATAGAAACAATCACACAGTGCATTAAAATCCGAAAAAAAAGAGTAAAAGTAAAATCCTTGAGTTGTATGCACAGCTAAACAAAACTGTTTTAACCTGGATTTAAACATTGTCAGAGACGAAGCCTATCTCACATTTTCAGGAAAACTGTTCCAGATTTTAGCTGCAGAAATCTTAAAACGCTGCCTCCCCATGTTTATTCCTGACTCTGGGCACCAGCAGGAGGCCCGTCCCTGTGCTCCTCTGAGTCCGAATTGGTCCAGATGACACTCACACGTACTTTGCGAGGCCATGGAGAGACTTGCAGTAAATCTGTGATATTGGTTCATGGTAAACAGACAGGAAGGGAGAATTTAACACATGCAGAATATTAGCTGCACCTTGGCTTCAGTCCTGGCTGTGGGTGTGCCTGCCCCTCCCTGGACTTCTTTCATCTTCTTACATAACCTCCTCACCACAGAGTTTACCACTTCTACAGTCAGCAAACTGGCAAATACATCTCGTTGTTTGCCTTTCAGAATCACTCCCCGCCTCAGGATATAGCATGATTGTTCTGCTAATGAGTGTACCGCATGGAAACATCTTAGAGGAGTTTGGGCAACGGCTTCATTCACCAATCAGATATGAATGTGTAAATATGTCTTGTTTTGCTTTAGACGGATGTGGAGGAAGCCGCCCCTCGTTGGGGGAAGAGTTCTAAACTGGTCCTGGTCTCGGTGCTGCTGGCTGGTCTGCTCCTGGCTGCTCTGCTGGTGGCTGGATACTACCTCAAAACACACCACAAAAACTCTAAAGGCGTAAGACTGGTGAGTGACAACAATTAGCAAGAAGTAGATTTGTCATTTACAGTTATTCATCTATTTATTCAGACTGTATTAAAGGAGCAGTATGTAAGTATTGCTCCTTTAATACACTGTAAGTAGTGTATCAGGCCAAAAGTGGTACTGCAACCTCTTCTGCTCTCCCTGACTCAGGTTGCCAGATAAACAAATCCAGCTGGGATCATAATATCTGAATAGACTAGAGTTTTGTCAACAACTAATCTATAATCAACACCTTTTTCACAAAGATAGAAATCCTCATTTTATTCCTTGTTTTGTTATCAAAGATTTAAGAATCATTTAAGACCAATTTTAGTTCTGCGACCAGATGTTACTTTACCGGTGAGATTAACTCAAAATTTGAATATCTCGGCTGGAATACTGTTATCAGCTAAAGAAGTATTTGAAAAGAGCATGGTTTATTAATGCCTTTTGACAGATTAGGGCCATTTAATGATAACTTGACATGAAAATCTTACATATTGCTACTTTAAGGACTCATATGCAGGCATCCATCAAATCCAAGCATAGCAGTTAAATCAATGTACACAATAAATGGTAACAAAAAAACAAAAACAAAACAGGTGATTATTGATATATAACCTTACACAGAACTAAATATGCTGAGGAATGGTTTTATGACTCAGACAATGACTGCAGAATGAAGTCACATGGTCACAGAGTTTACATGGTACTTTTAACAGCCCAATGTGTAAAAGTCATCTCTAAAGGCATCACTTGAGCTTTGTTTTGGTCAAATCTATAAAAAAAATATCCCATATTCTCTGATTTTTAAGGGATCAAAGCCCTAATCGATTAATTGAAGTGAGTAATCTGCCATCTAATTGATTATCAAAATAACTATTTTATTGTAGAGTGCAATCATTCAATCATGGGGTTTACACTGCAAAAAGCGATGGAAATAAAAGTAAAACACATATTTCCGTCGCTTTTTGAATAATTGCTCAAATTTGTCAAAATGAGTCTTAATTTAAGCACATTTTGACTGCCTTAAAACAAGATTCACAGAGGGACAAGCAAAATTATCTTTTTTTTTAAAGAATCTAGAAATGTCTCCCTTTGAATGAGAATTTAAAGCAACAATTCTTTGCCCCATTGGGAAATCTTGTTTTATGCACTCAAATTAAGATAAATTCCACTCAATTCAAGCATTTTTTGCAGTGTTTTGCACAAATAATCATGCTGTTTTTAATTAATTCCAATAAAACAAATACAATAACAAGCGTGTTTGTCCATATTAGGCAAAGCAGCAGACGCAAACCCTACATTCCTTCACTGAGAACAAACTGTTTATTTGACCAAAGCCCAAAAGGATTTGAGGTCACATCCCAATCTGAGGCTGTGGCCCCAGTGTACTCTTTGTGGGTTCAGTGGGCCGCATTTGGTTCTGTTTTTCATCGTGACATCACTTTCTTAAGCGTTAGCATGTGTGCCGCCTCCCATTTGTGTGCAGCGTGTCATGTGACTATTGACAAAGACCTCTGACCCAGGCCTCAACTATTCGTGATAATGGCTCGCAATCACAGAGCACATTTTAGATTCTGTGACGTGTGTGTGTGAGTCATTCTTCTGCAGAAACACCGCCCTTCTGAGCACGCACAGACGGAACCAATAAACACCAACAAACAACATCCCCAAACAAACCCACCTCACTCTGTGTTTGAACAGGCGACCTTCTCCAACCCTCATCTGCTAAATCTGCCCATGAAGCCGTTTTAACAAGGCTGTCGGGAAGATTACACTGTTGCAATATGTTCGGATTCAGATTCAGATTTTTTATTGATCCCATCACTGCAAAAAAATATAAAATATGAGGTAATAAAATCTTGAATTGATTCATTTGAGTGCATTCTGACTGACAGGATTGGCCAATGAGACAAAGAATTATTACAAGAACTTGCTTTGGTTTATTTTCTCATTCTTCATTCAAGGGAGACATTTCTTCTATCTTTTATAAAAAATATGTCCCATTGAAAAATCTTTAAAAAAGGCAGAAAAGTACAGAAATGTTTTATTTGGTTCATTTCTGTACTTTTATTGTTGTTTTATGTATGTACTTGTCGTGTGCACACTGGGGACTTTTAAAAAGTATTCCAATGTGGTTTTACTGCAAATGGTAAAAAATTGAATCTGAAATCTGAATCTCATCTGAATGTGCTCAAGTTAAGAGGCAGTTTGCCAAACTTAAGCAATTGTTTACTTATTTTTTATCACTTTTTTGAGTGAAAGTGTATTTCAGAGCAGAACAGACTCTACACAAACACACAGCAGTGAGTCGGCCTCTCTGTTCACGCAGTTGCAGGTTACAATATAAGTAAAACGACACAATAAAATACACAACAGTTGCCAAAAGTCAAACACCTCCAGAGTTCAACAGTTTTATAGGAGAAAAGAACAAAAGAATTGGAAAAACGGTTTGTTTTCTGAGCTGGAGCATTAAAACGTTGCTCTGAAACACATCGGTTAGTAAAACTACTTTAGCATAATAAAGTATAAAATCTCAAAAAAGCAGTTGTATAAAAACAGACTAAAATGTAAGAAAAGAGGGAGAGAGCGATGCAACATCAAATCCTCCAGCTTTGGTTGTCCTGGAATTGAGAAATGACAAAGAGTTCTCCGTTTTAAACATTTTTATAAGGTTGTTTTTCTCCAGCTAAAATCTTTGATATATTTAGCTATTGGCTGTAGATTTTTGAGAATTTGCTCAAGAAGAAGATGGTACTAAAAATATGCCTGACAAAAAACGTCTTGTAAAGGTCCTAATTTGAATCCTTTCAAATGTTTTATTAATGGCACTTATCTGTTTTTTGCAATCTATTCAAATGGAAATGGGTTCCTGGTCTGTCCTGATAAAGTTCCCTAAAGGCAATAAGGGATGGGTTAAATACAGAAGACAAATTCCAACGTGGTGTTAATTGCAAAAAGCTGAAATCTAATCTGTACGTTCACTAACTTCTTTCGTATTTTCGTTCAGGCTGAGTCCTTCCAGGTGGACGAGGAGAACCAGGCCAACACCCTTGTATCCGTGGCCCCTCTGCCTCAGGAGCCTCTGGACAAACCCACGCTGAACGGAGAATCCCCCCCTCCAGAGAACGGCACGAGCCAAGCCCCCACCACCAACGGACACTCGGCTGCCCAGATCCCAGACGCCGACACAGAGATGTGAAGAGCCCCACCCCACCTCCAACCACACCCACCTCCTCATGGCCTCCCTCTGCTGCCTCATGGACTGTCCACACACTGAGAAGGAGAATACACCCCTCCTCCAGAATACACGGGAACAACCGAATATCTGACAATGCCGTTAATGTGAAGAACATGGGAACAGTGACTGCGGAGCTCCGAAAACCTCATCTGGGACTGAAATGATGACTTGGATTTTGGGAGCTACCCTCAGTCTCGAAGTATAGTTCATTCAATGTAAATGTATCAAAATATAGTTGTATAATTGGAATTTGGATTTCTTATCAGTAACATTTTTGAAGGAATATTGGTTAAACTCAAGCTTGTCACTCAAACAAATCACAAGGCGGTGAGTTCATACGTAGTGTTTTGGTTTTCTGAAGGCCGAAAGCTTCTGGTGCCGTGGCAGGAGTTGATTGAAATGTCTATGATTTTTCCATGCTTTGAAATCACATGCAAAAATCTAAATCACCGCCTTGTGCATTGTTAAAGTGACAAGCTGAAGTTTAACCAAAAGGGCTTCTAAAGTGTTGTAAACGATCCAAAAAAATGAAGGAAAACCCAGCTATGAAAATGCGACTTTGACTATTTTTTGTTTTGTTGTTAAAGGGACTGATACTCACTATAGTTTTTGTATTTTTTGGTATGATTGAGTGATTTCATCAGTTGTTTTGTTTATGTACTTGTCACAAACAATAAAGAGCTTTCAAACGTGTCGATAAATGAAATAAAACACTTTTTTTTTGTATATTTGGAATGATTGAAAGTAGACATTTGTCAAATATGTTCTGGCATATATAGGTCTGGTGTCCGCAAAGTGTCAACATACAGAGAATAAAACAGAATATCCTGAATAAAAAAGAAAACATTTGTAAATTTGATGATAAAGTTGAGTTTGTTGAGGCACCGAGGCAAATTTTTGTGCTTTTGAGGTTTTGTTTTTGCATTAATTCTTTACTTGAACTTCTACTAATTTTAAACGTTTTCTCAAAACATTAATAGATGCTTTCTTTGTAGCACAATGGGGACATTTCAGGGTTGCATCACCAGTTACAGAACAGTAGGAACGACACAAGATAAGTAGAAAATAGAATAGAATCTCTATCCATCCATCCATTTTTTTCCCTCAATCCATTGGCTGCCTCCCAAACCACAGAGCACCAGCCCCTCACTGATCCTCCTACAGGTGGAGGATGGCTGCTCGGTCAGTAACGGCAGCCTTGATCTTTCGGTGGGAGCTTCAGGCAAAGTGGGGTGTGTTTTGTCCAAGGACAAAATGACAGCAGACATCAGTGGGAGTCAAAAGGTCTCGAGGAGGGCTTGAACTCACAACCTTCAGGATCAAAAGCCAAAAATCTACCAACTGAGCCACTGTCACCCCTAAATAAGTAAGTATAAAATGTACTGCAGGATATACAGTATATATTAGTAAGTATACATGTGTAGATACTGGTAACATGAGGGTACGGGACAGAGTGGTAAGGGGTGCATTTCCTGGTTTTCAAATATCACTGTCAAATCAATATTTATGATTATACGACATATGTTCAACCTGCTGTAACCAAACATAGAATAATGAATTTCTAGATCCTCAATATATCTTCATACATTTATATCCAAACAGAATATCCATAAGATTCATATGTAATTGTGCTGAAATGAACAAACAATATCACAAAATATTATTTTAAAAGAGACTTAACTCCATCCAGTAATTCCTTAATTAAATCTGACGAAACTAACTATTTTTGTTTTCATGAATGATAGAATGATAAATATGTTGTTTGGGCTATATCAGAATGAATCTTGTAAAAGTGAATTGTTAAAGTGAATAAGTTTGACCACAACAGTTCTCTTTTGCTTCATTTTCACAAAGAGCCCTGGGATTTGGCACTTTGGGCTGAAAGCGGATTGGTTAAGGGGAGGTGGTCATCTGTTTTTCACTTTAAAATAAATAAATCTAATGAAGACAAAAAATAATGTAATACAAATACCCTGTCGATAATTTTGTTAATCAAGTTTATATCTTAGATGGGTTCATTCGGACTGTCTTAAAACTAAATTTGCAAACGGGACAAAGCCATTTAGTCTTAATTCAAAAACTGTTGCTTTACTTTCTCATTCCAAGGGAGACATTTCTTGTATCTTTTTAAAAACAAGATCATTTTGCTTTGTCCCGTTGGCAAATCTTAGTCAAATGTGCTCAAATGAAGATACATTTTGTTCAATTTGAGCCATTTTTGACCTTTTTCTCATCAATTTTTTTGCTGTGTACAAGTTTTGTGGTTTTGAAATGTAGGTCCACCAACTTTAAAGAGCTTTTTATTATGTAGCGGCTCAGTTAAAACTAGCTCCACTGAGGTCATCGCATGGTTGACTGATAACGGTTCCACAATGGAGACATATTAAAGGATTACACCACTGACAACAAACGGCAGAACATCACGTACAGACCCTTCAAATAGTTTCCCTGGGAATACAGCTTTGATAATGTTTGAGATACACACCTTGGTCGGTTCCAAAAATGATAAAGGTTAGCCCTTTTGAAATAGCCATCCACTCAATCTAGTCTTTTAAAGTCATAGCTATAAGTCATAACTGTTTGTTTGCTAATGTTTGTCTTGTCTGTCTGTATGTTTTCAATTGGACCTACAGTCTGAAAAAAGGTACTGAATTGAATCCATCCTTCTCTCTTTCTCTCTGTTATCTATCTATCTGTGTATCTAACTGTGTGTGTATCTCCCTCGCTCTCACGTTAGACACTTTGGATATATTGATGCTAGAGATAGAGATTTTGTTTTGTTTTAATTAGTACAGCTATTCTTCACTTGACTTGTGCCGTGTGCTCCTCTTTCCTACTGTTCTATAACTTGTGGTGCAACACTGAAATTTCCCCACTGTGGGACAATTAAAGGATCTCTTAATCTTAATCTTAATAACTATCCATACAATCTAATCTTTTAAAGTCATAACTGTTTTTGTCTGTTCATCTTTGTCTTGTCTGTCTGTTGTAAATTGGACCTAAAGTCTGTAATAACATGTAATTGAATTAAACACTTATTTACAACAGCATGTTTTGAACAACTGACAAATTTCCGTGTTCTATGTCTCCATCTAGCGGCCACATGCTGTCAGTGTACCATCTGACACAGCGGTGACCTCATCTCATCCCAGTCGTAAGATGACTAAACTTGGGTGATTGTGTTTTCTTCTAAGAAGCCTGAAGAAGGGTTTACTGGAATACCGTGAGGAGGTGTGGCCTTTTCAGAAGAGACAAAGTGTGCCTCACCAGGCACTGGATCACGCGTAATGATTAATATCTTAAAAATAGGCTTACTATCCAGAAAAGGAAGACTTTGTAAATTGTTAACTACCACACCATTAGATGTAAAGGTGCATTTCGTATCTGTTCTGCTGTTGAATGGATCGATTGGAAGGTACGAATATGATATACATTATTTAACTAAAATAAAACAATCTGTCTCTATTTATCTATCTATCTTCTATCTACAATATCGCTCTCCTATTCGTCCACAATTTGCTGGATGGTAATATTAAATGGAATACTGTGGGACATTCCAGGAATACAACAACAATAGATGGACCCAAGCAAAGAGCAAGAGCCATGGATCTATATTGAGCCGTCACCAGAAAATTAAATGTCGCCATCTGCTGACACTGAGCGATATTGCAGTCTTTGCTTTGTCATTCCTGAAAGTGGTACAAAACAAAGAGAGGGCGACTACACTTCAGTAGTTGTTGATCACCGCCCTGTATGAATAATGACCTGTGAAGTTTTTTTAAGTGTCAAGTTATTTTTGTTTATCTCTAAATCACAGCAGTGGTAATATCAGAGGACTTTACCAAACCGTTGATTTGCCAACATAGACCAGAGAATCAAACAGTTAAAACACAAAAAAGGCCAACAATAATTATTACTATTATTATTATAACTATTCTTATCATTATTATTTTTTTTATAGATCTTTTGCCTGAGTACGTGCTATATAAAACGGATGCATTATTATTTTTAATTATTATTATGAATATTATTATTATTATCATTATCATTATCATTATCATTATCATTATCATTATCATTATCATTATCATTATCATTATTATTATCATCATTATTATTATTATGGATCTTGTGCCCGAGTACGTGTCCTTGATAAAGTCTGCACTGATGATTTCAATGCGACACGGCAGGGTGCGTCAGCGCGCTGGCGTTTACGGTAAAGGGTCATAACCATGTGATCTCGCCGATGTTTGTAAACATGCGTCAGCCACATGTGATTCAGGAGATGAGGAAACGTTCTGTCCAACCAGCATCCGGGGGAGTGTCATGGGCGGGCTCAGTGTTGCGCTATGGAAAATCATCAGGGAAACAAGTGACAAACGTGGCTCTGAACATTTCATAACAGCAAAGAACAACACATCCTCTGGCTGGGATGACTGCAACCACAACAAGACTCTTCTGGAAGCATCCACGGACTTTCTGCGTAAGTTGTTACTTCTGACTACGCCATAGGGATAGTAACCTGCGTATGTTGCGTAGGGAATCGCACTATGTATTTCACAGGCTGAATGGGAATGTAAGCATATGCAACGCCAGAGGTGAAAAGTGTATACGCATGACCAATAACCGATATAAAAGTTATGTAATCGTGTGTCAACATAAAGCTGGGGCGCTGGAGATAGAGAAGGACTGTGTTATCCAGGGTTGCTTCATCATCTGCGTGACAACAGGTAAATTCAACTGCGTCAGCATGAAGGACCGTCAAACCACTTGGATCCAGGGGGGAATTTTACCGCGAGTGAGAAGCGCGCAGCTTGGTCCAGACATAACGCAAAGTCGTGGGTGTGAATCTTGAGGGTTTATGTGGTTTAAATGTGTAAAAGGGGCATGTAAACAAAGCATGGGGCTGTCACTGGGCTGGCGTGCCAAGGCAGAGATAGGAATAGGATGCTGCGCAGGAG